TGCATGCATGTGCACTAGTGATATTGAACCATAAATTAAATCTAGGTCAAGGTATACTAGGTTGTTTGTGTGGTTGCGGTTGCATATCTAGGATGGGACCATTTAGATTGAATTCGGTAATTTCCACAAGAACTTAATGCTTTTAGGTAGTTTAAATTTACCTAAGGTTAGTGTGGGTTAACATACCTAATTAGAGATTATTAGACTGAGGTCGGCTTGTAATCTAACTTAGGAAAATTTCACCAACACAATTGGGAATTAATTTGTTGGATGACAAGTTAAGAGAATTGATTATTAGTGGTTAAGTGAAGTTGGATGCTCTAACGCTTTGTGATCTTGGTTAGAATCTTGATAATTTGCCTTGCTAATTTTCGGTTTGCTTTAGATTAGTTCTACTTTGCAATATCAATTAGCTTTTGAATCCTTTAAGTTTCGGCTCTTTTGTATTTCAGTCCTTTAATTAGTTTAGTTCAATTTTTACTTGCCTTTTCGACTTGGTTAGCTAGTTCCTTGGATTGATCACCTTCGGTAAGTAATTGGATAATTAGAGACAATCCTTGTGGAAACGATACTCACTCTCATCATTTTATTACTTATAGATATTGTGCACTTGCAATTCACCTAACATTTGTCAAGACAACAGCTACTCGTCAGGACAGCAGGGGTGTGTCGCCGCGGTGGACAGCAGTAGAGGTGGCAATATGGGTCAGAAACCCATTTATTAACTCATTTTAGTGGGTCCAGGTTGAATATGGGTTACTTGAAATTTTGAAAACATGTCAAAATGGATTTGCAACATTAAAGCCCAAGTTTATATGGGTCAAAATGTTTGACCCATTTAAGTTATTAACTTGTAACCTTGTTAGCTAAATAGTTTAAGTGTCATTTAAAAAAAATAATTTTTTCTTTTTTTAAAAGAATCAAATTTTAAATTATTTTAATTTAATTTAATTTAATTTTTTTCTTTTTCTGTTTCCTTCTTCTCCAGCCGTAGGCGAGCTCGAGGCTCGTCCGACGAGCTCAAAGCTCACCGATCTAGACGAGCTTGAGCTCGCTAGATTCCGGCGAGCTCGAGGCCGCGATCTGGACGAGCCTCTAGCTCGCCGGAATTTGGCAAGCTCGAGGCTCATCCGATGAGCTCGAAGCTTGCCGATCTAGACAAGCTTGAGGATGAGCTCGAAGCCCACCGATCTAGAGCTTGTCTGACGAGCTTGCCTGCGGTTGATCATCGGCCGGCGACCAGCCGAAGAAGAAGGAAAAAGAAAAAGAAAAATATTAAAATTTTCATTTTAAAAAAAATAAAAAATAAAAAGAAAATAAAGATATATAAAAATACAAAAAAATTATTATTTTTAACTTATAAAAATTGTTCACTTATTTTATATTGCATTGAAGCATTTTAGCAATATAAATATTATAAAAAAAGTTTTTTAAAATTGGATTTTTAAAGTGTTTTAGAATATGGGTCGGGTTGGATATGAGTCGGGTATGGGTCATTAGATTGACACTTCATGAATATGGCTCAAAACGGGTTAAATGGGTCAATATGGATCGGACCATTTTCGACCCAACCCAAACCCGACTTTACCCATCTGTTTGACACCCCTTGATAGCAGCGAGCGAAGCAAAGTTGCAGCCGTATGAGTGGATGTTCAGCCAGGAGTTCTCTCCCTCTATCTCTATTCTCTGGCCGTGTATATCAATTGGGTTGGCCCCAAGAGGAGAGAGGACCCACTCACGATTTCTCTCTAATTGTCACTGTGTAATGGCCGTGTATTTCTGTTTGTGTGGCCTCCTCTCTGCTCTCAATTGTGTGAAGTTAAGCTCCCCCCTTCGTCTTTGAAAGGTCCCTTTTATAGGTGAAAGGAGGAAAGGAAGCAGATTTTATTTCCTCTTGTGCATGCTTAAAAATATATAGCACTTTCCTTCCCTCTCCCTTATCTGCACGCTTGTATCCTTTTGCTTGATTGTATTTGCTTCTCTCACCAATCTGATTAACAGGTTTCCCCAATTTACCCAATATTCCAATCTTTTAAATAACCAGAAATCTTTTGCAAAGATTGCCCACATGGATGTAGATGGAAGATTTGATGATTCGATTGAGAGAGGATTGCGGTCAAGACTAGTGCTTTTGAAAGAAAATCTTTGCCCAATATAAAGATCTTGCTATATATTAAGTTTTTGCTCGGTGAGCAAGATTTCTCTCTAGCAAAACCAGCCGTCCCGTGCTCCGGCCAGGGCCCCTCGCGTCGGGGACATCACCGGCTGGAGTGGGCTCGCTCTATCCGGCGAAGCTCCGTCTCCTTCCTGGGTCTTCGACGGGGAAGGCGCGAATCTGGATCTCAAACGGGGTGCCCGGCGTGGTCGGGAACTAGCGCTGGTCCGATCCGGGACTCCTCAAAGCCGGCGACTCCTCCTCTGTCGCGGGGCTGTTCGCCGCCTGGAGTAGGTCAGCGCTTGTCAAAGCCGGCATCTCCTCCTCTGTCGGTGAGTTTTCTAGCTCGGATTTTGGGGGTTTTCTTCTCTGTTTCAGGGAGTATCTCTGCTGGGCTGTAGCAGAGGGTGAACGGCGCTTCAGAGGAGGCGAGCTGGTGGATTGGTGAGGTTTTTGGCTCTGATCTGGTGGGGGTTAGTTTCGATTTGGTGGTCGGGAAACCAAAGGGCAGGAGGAGCTCGAAGATGGGTGAGATTGGGGGGCCAGAACGGTTGAACATCTCTGCTGTTAGGATGATCGGCTGAACTCTCTGGTTCGGTTCTGGCTTTCTAGGTTAGATTTGTGGTTCGGTTTTGGCTCCTGCTAGGCTGGTTCGGTTCTGGTTCACTGATCAATCTCTGGTTCTGCGGGTCTGTGGATTCCTGCTGGAGATCAATCCCCCCTTCGTGGTTTTGTGGCTCGGTCTCGGTCTTCTAGTGTTCTATGGTTCTGTGGGTCTGTATCTCTGGTTCCCTGGTTCTGTGGCTCTGAGAATTCCCTGTTTGAGCCTCTCCCATCCGCAACCATGTAGGAGGATTTTGGATCCCTCCCCTCATCCCTCCTTGCAGCCCTTTTTCCTTTCTTAGTTGGTTGATAGCTACTGTTTGGGCATTGACTGGTTGCTGCTGGTTGGGCTGCTGCTGCTGCTTTGGCTACTGCTGATTTTGGCGTGGATTAGCTGGCTTGGCTGCTGCTGGTTTGATTGCTGCTGCTGTTTTGGCTATTGCTGTTGTGGCTGCTGATGCTGGTTGGCTGCTGCGTTGGTTGCTTTGCTGGTTGGGCTCTTCTTCTTTGCCGTTTTTCTTTTTGTTGTGAGCCGCCGATCTTTGCTGGTTGGCTGCTGGTTTGACTACTGCTCTGGCTGCTGCTGGTTGGCTGCTGCTGATTATTCTCTGCTGCTGATTTGGCGCGGGCTGGGTTTGGCTGCTGCTGCTGCTGATTGTTCTCTGCTACTGGTTGGCGTGGTTTGGCATTGGCGTGGATTGGTTTAGGTCTGGTCTGATTGTCTATGGTGTAGGTTCTCGAGAGATTTGACCCAGCCCCCTTTGCTCATAGATTCCAACCAGTTGCTCGAGGATCTTCGAATATGGTGGTAAGCACTAGGCGTGGTAAGGGTAGAAGTCGGAAATCCACTCCTCCGATTTCTCCCGCGCTCAACGCAATCTCTGTAGATATAAAGAACAGTCTGTTCTGTGCTACGCCGAAGGGTATTGATGCAAGTGACGAGGCTGTCAAGGGTAAAAGTTCTCGAGGTTTCTCATGTGCTGCTTCCTCTAGTTACATTGCTGAAGATGTTGTGGCTGAGGGTAATGGTCTTGATGACACTCATACTTGTACTAATGAGAATGGTGGAGGCATTGGGCTGTCTGCTGATAAATCTAAGGATAGCATTCCTTTTCCTGTATTAGCTAGAGACCCTTCTTCTCCACCACCTCAGGATGTTAGTGTGAATAGGACTTCGACAGGTGTATCCTGGAAAAATATCACTATGGGAAATATTGCCCAGTCCGCTAAACTTGACTTTTACCCTCCTTTGAAGTCTGGAAACAAACTTATTGCAACTCCTCCTCCGGAGGTTATAGATGAGGGTAAATATCATTTCCAACACTGCCTTGTTGGATATTTTCTTGCTGCCAATGCCTCCTTTTTCTTAGTAAGAGGAGTTATCAAGAAGCTATGGGGAAAAGAGAATCTTATAGATATCACTACCACGGAAGATGGCTTTTTCTTCTTCCGGTTCTCTAATGTAGCGAAAATGGTGGAAGTAATGGAGGCTGGGGTGTGGGATATTGCAGGGAAACCCATGTTTATTCAAAAGTGGCACCCACTCATTAGATTAGAGAGAGAGAAGATTACTTCTGTGCCTGTCTGGGTTCGGCTATATAATGTACCTCATGTACTTTGGACCAAGTCAGGACTAAGCTATGTTTGTAGTGTACTTAGGAGGCCTCTCTATATGGACTCAGCCACTGAACAAAAGAGACGACTATCCTATGCAAAGGTATGCATTCTCATAAATACCGATAGCACGTTTCCAGAAAAATTTGATATCGACTTGGGTAATGGCGACATCTTCGAGGCTATGGTACAATACAATTGGGTGCCTCTGAGATGCAAGAAGTGTAACTGCTTTGGCCACAAAGATTGTACTGGAAAAAGCAAGGAGATTTGGGTTCCTAAGACCCAAAAAGTTACTACCCCTCCCAACTCTTCGCAGGAGCCATTAATAAGTAGAGATGGTTTTAGGGTTGTTTCTGGCACTCCTAGGCCAAAGTCCACCCAAAGAGACGATGTTTAACCCCAGGATGCCAACGTGCCTAGCACTCTTGATGTTATGATTAATCCATCTTCTTCTCAGCTAGTTGGTAGAACGGCTCCTGACTCATTGGGGGGGGGGGGGGAATGTTGCCTCTAACGGTGTGTCTTCTGCTAATAGGTTTGCTCTGCTGGATGTGGTGGTGGATAATTCGATTTTCCCCTTAGATGATTTGGAGGGCTCAGGGGATGTAACGGTACCTCCTGATTTATGAATATAGTCTCTTGGAATGTGAGGGGCCTTAATCATAGCCCTAAAAGAAGGGAACTTGTAGACTTTGCTTTGTCTCTAGACCCTCATATTCTCATTTTGCTTGAGCATAAGATTAAGGAAGATAATGCTGATTTTGTTGTTGACAGTAGCTTTAGAGAATGGTCTTATGCTCATAACTATATGTACAGCAGCTTAGGTCGACTTTGGATTCTTTGGAAGCCATCTATCCTTAGGTTAACGGTGTTGGAGGCTTCTGCTCAAGTCATCCATTGTCAAATTGATAAACCTGGGATGGATCCATTTTTGCTTTCTGCCATCTATGGTTGCAATACGGAAGTGGAGCGAGGGATTATGTGGCGCAACATTTTGAATTTTTCGAACAGAAATCCCGAAAACGTGCCATGGTTGCTCATGGGGGACTTTAATGAAACAAGGGATATCAGCGAAAGGATTGGCTCCACGGTTCGCTGGACTGTGGGTATGGATGAACTAAACAACATTATTGAGGAGCTTGCATTAATCGAGCCTCCATCATTAGGCCCGATCTTCACATGGACTAACAAAAGCTCTGGAACTAATCTTAGAGCAAGTAGAATTGATAGAGTACTGGTTAATGCAGAATGGCAGAACAAGTATGAACACTACTCAATTGAATTCCTACTTCCAGGGGTATCAGACCACTCACCCTGTTTGGTGAAATTAGACACCACTAGCAGGAGAAGGAGATATTCCTTCAGATTCTTCAATTTCTGGACCTCAAGTCCGGACTATCTACCTATGATTTCCTCCTGCTGGCAAAAAGAAGTTAGAGGATCATGCATGTTTGCAGTAGTGACAAAGCTCAAAAAGCTGAAACAACAACTCAAGAGCCTGAATAGATCTCAGTTTGGTGACTTACAAGCTAAGGTAAACAAGGCTAATGAAAGCTTGTATCAGATTCAACAAAAGCTGGTGATTGACCCATTCGATGCCATCTCTCGGGCGGAAGAAAAGGCACATTTGGAGGAATTTCTGGCTTTAAGTAAACATGAAGAAATTTTGCTCAAACAAAAATCCAGAAATCTTTGGCTAAAGGAGGGCGACAATAATAGCAAGGTTTTCTTTGCTTCCATGATGCGAAGAAGTGCTCAGAACAGGATAAATCATCTCATACTTGAGGATGGATCCGTTATCTCTGAAGAGGGGGCTCTTAAGAACACAATCTTATCATACTATCAAGCCCTTCTTGGTAGTTCCAGGGGACCTTGTATCCCTTATGAGAGGTATGCCCCTTTTTTTTCATGAAGATATCAATGCTTTAGTTACTTTCACACCACCCCAGAGAAAGGATATTCTTCGAGTCCTAAAGGGTTTCAATGATTTCAAAGCACCAGGCCCAGATGGTTTTAACAGTCGTTTCTTCAAAAGTGCTTGGCCTATCATTGGACACGACATCGAGGAAGCTATACTGGATTTTTTCTCGTCCAAAAGATTATTGAAATCTATAAATTCCACTCTGATCTCTCTTGTCCCGAAGGTTCCAAATCCCTCATCCCTCAAGGAGTTCAGACCCATATCATGCTGTAATACCTTGTACAAGATCATATCCAAACTCCTTGCAGAACAAATAAGCAAAATGCTCCCCTTGATTGTTGATCTAAACCAAACGGCTTTCATCACCGGACGACAAATCTCAGAAAATATCCTGTTATGCCAAGATTTACTTCACAACTATCATAAGGGAGATAAAGGTAAACGTGTCGCCATAAAAATAGATCTCATGAAAGCTTATGATATGGTCAGATGGGATGCAGTCATCGGAGTCCTAAAAGCTCTAAATACACCCCAGGATCTGGTTGAATTGATAAGTGAGTGCATTACTACCCCGAGGTTTTCAGTGAATTTTAATGGCGAACAGGTAGGGTATTTCAGTAGCACTAATGGGCTGAGACAAGGTGATCCTCTTTCTCCATATTTATTTACTCTAGTTATGGAAATTTTCAATAGAATTGTAAGAGCAAAAGTTGCTGGTTCTTCCTTCAAATACCATTGGCGCTGCAAAACGCAAAGGATTACACACCTTTGCTTCGCTGATGACTTGTTCTTATTTGCCCATGGAGATGTAGACTCTGTTCTATGCCTGGTAGAAGCTCTTGAAGAATTCGCTACTCTCACTGGACTGCGGTTTAACCCTGACAAATGCCAAATATTTTTCTCTGGGTTAAATGAGGAGGAAAAGCTTCTTATATTGGACCATACGCCTTTTCCCGCAGGTACTCTCCCTATCAAGTACTTGGGTGTTCCTCTTATTACTAAAAGACTCACCCACTCAGATTGCAAAAGCCTTACTGATAAGATATTCAAGAAAATTGAGAGTTGGGGAATGAAGCATATGAGTTATGCGGGTCGGTTACAACTAACCAAATCGGTCCTTATATCTATCTGCACGTACTGGATGCAAATGTTTCTTCTTCCGAAGCAAACTATCTATGAGATTGAGAAGAAGATTCGCCACTTCCTATGGGTTAGGTCTTCAACAAACCGTGGATCGCAGAAAGTTGCATGGCGTGTAGTATGCTCACCCAAAAAGGAAGGAGGGTTAGGATTGCCTGATTTGAACCTATGGAACAAAGTGTTATTAGGGCGCACAATGTGGAATCTTTTCAATCATCCATCTTCTTCACTTTGGAGCTCCTGGGTCCACAGTACAAAATGCAGAGGAACCCCATTTTTGCAGATGGACATGAAGGGTAGTATGGCCTGGAGTTGGCGATGTCTCCTCAAACTACGTCATGTCCTAACCCCAGCCATGTCTAATCCAAGATATTGCTGCCATGATGTCTTGGATGAACTTAGACACGAGAGTCCGGCTGTGGAGTGGTATAACTTAATATGGAGTAGCGGCGTTAGCAAACACAATTTTATTGGTTAGCTAGTATGTAGGGATAGGCTTCCGACAGCAGAGATCATATCACGGTGGATGACCTCAGTCGATGTTCAATGTACCTTCTGTAGGGCAAGTATAGAGAACACGACTCACCTTTTCTTCCAATGCAAATGGACAGGTAGCATCTGGCGCAATATTCTTGCGCAACATGGGATCAGGCGTAATGTATAGGGATGGAATGAGGAGCTTCAATGGATGGTTAAAGCAACAAGAGGCAAAGATTTGGCAGCGAAACTCAAAATATCTTTCCTAGCGACTGTATATTGCACTTGGATGGAGCGCAACCATAGGCGGTTTCAAAACAATCCAACTGACATTCAGATTATTTTGGCGAAGGTGCGGGAAAATGTAAGAGGTAGAGCTTCGCTATACCAAAAAATCAAACCTCCGCAAGCTAACTTTGGTTTAGCTACTTTATGGAGACTTCCTACCTCCATATTCTCGAATTATTAGTACTAGTTGTAATGCCGGGGTATGCCCCTAAGCTGCTGTACATCATCTGTTATATACTACTTACATTTTACACCAAAAAAAAAAAAGATCTTGCTATTAAACCCCCACGGAATTGAACTTTTCCAAATTAATAGCTTTATTGCTCGCAATTTTCGGGTTTGACCAAATTTTATGCACTTGCGAGCTTAGGCTCAAATTAAGCTCAAAACCTCATTCAAGTCCATTCGTCACTGGTCCAAATGCAAATATAATTAATGTACCTATCTATATGCAAAATGCTCTTAATGCAATTTTAATATTTTTGTTAGGGGCTAAAGCTTAGTCCCTGATTTTTTATGCAATTATTTCTAGGGCCGCGCTTTTTCCACTCCTCCTATGACTAAGACACTCATTTTTTTGTTGTTTTGACCATCCTATCCTTTGTGGGGCCCACTACTTTTGGTACAATTTTACATAATCCTTTTTTATTATTTGGTCAACTCTATTTATTTTGTTTCTCTTTTTTTTTTTTTCCATATGGGTCTCACTTTCCTTTTTCTTTCTTTTCACGCCTCCCACTCCTCTCTCTCCATTCTCTCTTGCGTGCTTTCTACACCTCCCATTCCTTCTTGTTCTTCTTTTTCCTACAAATCTCGTTGGCCTCATAGTTTGCTTTGTAAACTTGAAGGGAGTTTTGTAGCTTGTTACCATCAAATGTATTTACAATTGATCGCCTAGTTCATATTTGAATTGAAAATCATGTTTCTTTTGGGTTTTTTTTGTTGTTTTCTCTAACGCAGTTTTCCCCATTACTGATAGAGAAAACCCGTGCTCCTTTTATAGCTATTAACAGCCGAATTCATGGTCGTTGAAAAACATATCTAATATATATGGGAAGGCTCCAACAAACTGATTCAATTTGTCATCTATATATTGCATGTTCTTGAGAGCTTTTGTCTCTCATATTTCTTGATTTTCTCCTTTATCTAGATACTAGTCATAATTTGGTGTTTGTTCCATCTTCGAAAATCTAAAGATGCTTGTAGCCGAAACCTGAAGAATGGTATTTTTTGTCGGTCTCATTGTCATAGTTAACAATGAGGTTTTAATGTAATCGACCTAGATATGAAAACCCAAAGTCATAACTTTTTTCTTACAAAACATTCAAATGCAAAGATAAGTTGAAAGCTTTCTGCAAGTCACTGGAAAAAGCACAAAAAGAGGAGCAAAATCTCACACCAAAATATCAATTCTAAATACATCAAAATTTCCATAAAACAAATAAAGAAAAGTAACAAGTTGCATAAGCAACTTAACAAAAAATATTGTCCATTCAGCTGCTTGGCTCCCCTCAAGAAAATTCACTGTGCCTATATTTCATCACCATGAATTCCAATGGTTCTCGAATGTGTGTTTGATCCGAGATCTTCGCCTTTCGATTTACATGTCCGACTATTATGACCGTAACCTTTGCAAGTACCACATCTCTTCCCCTTTTCAATAATCTCAAATGCCAAAGGATCACGTTTTGTAGAAGTTGCTTCTCCTTTAGTTTTTGAACTAGAAGGACGACCTTTATGAGATGTAATTTGGGGCTCATATAAGATAGTATCACTTGCTCGAATAAAATGCTCAATTTGCTTTCGAACAATTTCCTTTTTGGAAAGCGGCCATTCTTGATACTTCCTTTCCAACTCATGAAGTAGTTGCTTGAATGAATCTTCTTCATAATTTTGAGTAATATCACCGTCCAAAAAGGACCTTGTATTGAGCCTTCATTGCAGATTAATTATATCAAGAGGTAAACCATCGGAAAACCTAAATCTTATCTCATGCACACATGGATGTCCCATGGATTGCACAAAATGCCCAATACAAGGAGGTAATTCAACCCTACTTTTAGAAATCTCATTTTGCTTGTAAAGCTTGTCTAAAGCAAATATTGACACACGGGCAATCAAGTTCCTGAAAGAGGAATATGAAGATGATGAGGAACTCTTACCTTTTCGCTTGACAATTTGCTTTTGATTTTTTGAAATTGATTATCAACTACAAGGCATATCTTCTTTTTCACCTCAACTAAATTCCCTGTTGAAACTTGTAGATATGCTTTCAAAGTCGAATGCACCCCTTCAGCTCTTGAAGTAACCCGGTTTCCAAAATGCTTATGCAAGTTCATCCAAGCTGTCACAAAAAGCTCTTTGAAAGGAAGCCATGTATTTTTTATGTAGTTAACAACTGATGGCTTTTCCTTACAACTATATTCAAATTGCTGAATATTTTCATCATATTCTGCTTCAGTCTTGGAGTTCAAAACCTTGGACCAATCAGACATAAAAGAATCCCAATGTGTTCCTTCTTGGAACTGAGGTTTACATTTTGCCACAATATTTTTCTCAATATGCCAAACACACAACAAATTCGCACTTCTAGGAAAAACGATTCAAACTGCATTCATCAATGCCAACTCCCTATCAGTGACAATAGCTGAAGGTTGACAATCAACACCCAATATGTTGCTAAACATTATCAAATCCCAAACATAATCTTCCTCTTCCTCCTTTCTCAAAAAGACAAAGCATGAGTAGAAAGATGTATTAAAGCAGGAAACTCCAATAATATCCAACAAATGCATTTTGTATCTATTAGTCTTGTAAGTATAGTGCATTGCAAAGACACTTGAGAAACTCTTCGTTAGTGCGACGGAGATAGGATGTGAGAAAAATAAATGCGTCAAGTGAACCTCAGCATCATGTTTAAAATTGTAGATGATTCCACATGTACTAAGCTCATCTATTGAGGCTTGAACCATAATGCGACCATTCAGATATTCACGGCAGAATTTCGCTTTCTTGTTATAAATAGTTTTAGCAATAGCTTGAACATCGGGATTACTTTGTCTCAAGGAAATCAAGAATTTGGCGAGGAGGTATACCGGCCTTAGACATCTCTTTTACACGTAGAGCTTCAACTTTAGAGAATGACGACAAGTAGGATGTCCTGACATATCACTTGAAGGATCACGATTATGTGATGCATTCACTATTTTGAGTGACCATGATCCATTCTTCATTTTATAGCCACGGACGTCAAAAGGACAGTTAATCAAACGGGATCCAATCTTTCGTCTTTGATGCGCAACATAAATATTATGTCGATCACGATAACTACCTCCCCTGTCGCACCTAAGAAGAACATATTTGTCTCTCTTTGACCTTTTAATAGAGATGACATAACCTTGAGCAAGTAGATGGCTTCGCATACTTCTCAAAAGATCTTCTCGAGTTAGAAAATTACCGGATAAAGTTTCAAATGAACTTGTTAATATGATTGATTGCTCTTCTCCATTCGTATTTTCATCATCAATAGATGCATTCAAGCAATTTGGGTCCTCTCTAATATTATCTGTAGAGAATCAAGTGGATGCCCAATTAAAATAGAAACTCTTTTCTTAGTATTATAATGGCAAACTATCTACACCTACTCATTATAACACAATATTTAATTACCAACAATGTATGAGTGAGTAAAACAATGGGTTAAACAAGTATAAATAATGAATCCCAACAATTGGCGATTTTGAAATGGTTGTTGAGAAATCAAGTTCAATTCTGCACACAACTATAGTCTAGGGCTAAAAGCAACAGCAGCAACAAAAAGGAAAGAACAAACACAACATTGTAGCACTATGTTCCACGATATTAACCTATGAAAGCATAATTTTTATTTCAACACTCTTAATACAACACTGAAAACTGCAATCAAATCAAACCACTAATTCGAATCTGGCTTCATATCATCTAAAAGAACACAACTCACTTATTGCCCTCGACTTTTATGCCTACACATGTTTTCTTTCTCTACACTCTCACATGTGCAAGAAGAGACAAAAACATATTAAAAAAAAAGGGGGAAGAGACGGAAGCGGTGCTTCTCAATATTACCTTCCATGGTGCATGTCACGCCCCGTACCCTACGATCACGTAACATCCCGCCGCGGTCGTTAAGAATGCGACTCCCAGGATTCGTCGCCGACCCGTTACCATCGAAATAAGAGAAAATACGCGGAACCCAAACGAACACTCCATTCAACTTACATTCAAACGGGATAACAGAGAGAGAATTTAAACAAACCAACGAACCATTTTATAAACTTAACATCACATACAACGATAGAATATACAAGCCTTCCTAAAGGCCACAAACCCAGACCACGCATACTCAAAAAGGGATAGGGTGGTCGATCTGCTCCACTACTTTATTCAAAAGAGGAGCTCCCAAAAAGATAGGGATCTCTAACCCTATCAAAAACCTCCGCAACATCCTGGCGGTGCTCCTGGTGAAGCCGGGTCAGATGCCTCACTATAAGAGCCGGACGGCAAAGACTCCCATTCAGGTTCTGGCCACTCGACCCACGCTGGGGGCTCTGTAACCATCGGTTCTGGCTCTGGATTAACTACAGTTCCGTCAGGGGGATCAATCTCCATAAGATCCCATAATCCTAAACCATCGTCATGGGGAAACATCAAACCCCTCGAGAGGACCAATAGTCTGAGCTCCGTCTCTCAGAAACCAAGCCATGTACTTATGAGCTGTCAAGTACTGCTCACCATCATCGACCTAAACCGTGCTCTCATACTTCCGATACTCCCTACCCTCACCTACTGGGTACTCAGTCACCCAATGCTCCATCTCCGTTGGTACCCCGAAACGTAGCAGAGGCTCAGTCATAATCAAGGTCGAGGGTCTGAAAATGTTTAACAACGGAGAATGAGTTAAAATCTCAATAAGTAAACTGCCTAAGCCTCGACTAGGGCAATACGTACCTCCGGCACCCTAATCATGCCATTCTAACCAAAAGGTTAAGTTCCTATCCAACGGACAATGGTACCACGTACTATGCAAAAGCTCGAATTGTATCACAACCATGGCAACTATCAATACGCATAACAGCAATAATAATAATCCAGACATAATCAATCATTCACACGAGTCTCGATTATAAGATGAAATCACTTCGGCCCGTCCCATACCGTGCCTCACGATTTTATCCCATCATCAAGCTCAAAGCATACCATATGCACATAACACTCGAAGTTGTCCAGATTATTAACGACCCACCATAGGTCACACCGAACTCCCGCCGGTCTTCCGGCATAGCCAGGCATCACCCCACTACTTTGGGCGTGGCAACGTCCGGGATCGAACCCCCCCGACTAGTCGGGTACCGGACGGCGTTCCATTTAGGAGCATCGATCCGGCCTCCACCGCGATCGCAATGTCCGGGATCGAACCCCCCCGACAAGTCGGGTACCAGACAGCATCCGAACTTCCGCCGGGCATCGTCTAGAACTCGTCTTAGACGGAACTCATCATGGCCACACACGTAAATAACCACGCATTGCCAATTTTAATCTTCCTTAATTAGCCAATGCAAGTGTTTATGACGTGTAATGTACTACGAATAAATATGCCATGAATCGCACTCGTTTTCGTATCAAACATCGATATATGATCACGTTACGCCATGCCAAGCCAACGATAGCCATAATTAACCACACGATCTTCGTTCTAGGCCACGAAATCATCATTCAGACTACACGATCAAGCCATAATCAACTAATCAGCCATGATTAAATAAATTAACCATACGATCAAACCAATTAACCATACGATCGGTATTAAACAACTAATCCACCACACGATCGTCATTAAACCTTTAATCGACCCATAATCGACTAATTAGCCATGCGATTGCCAATCAAGGTCACCCGATCAATTTCAAATCTCTAATAAACCATATGATTTCATTTTATCACATCTTAATTTAATCTAAACCGTAGGATCAAA